GCTTTCCTAGAGTTAAACAGTTGAGTTTTACCGTTTTCGAATCCATTCAGCCGATCTCCAGGTCTGGCGGTTGCACTTTTAGCTGTAGCTTAGCATAGATCATTCAATCTGATTAGACCGTTAGCATCTCGCTCAAAAATGACCAAAGAGTTTCTATATTTTTCCTATTTAAAACTTGAATCCTCTGTAGTTATATCATGTACTAAGACCGACGGAAAATGAAAAGTTGTGATTTTCTAGGCCGATATGGCTAGGAACTATACTCTCATTCCGGCGTAATAATCAAGGAACTTTGCTGCCGTACCATGGGTGCAGCAGGCACAATGATATTACGCGGCGCTTGAAAATAGGCTTATTGGAAGTTACCTAGCTGGGACTATTTTCAGGCGCTGCGTAATATCATTGCGCCTGCTGCCCCCATGGTCATTTTTGAGCGTGATGCCAACGGTCTAATCAGATTCAATGATCTATGCTAAGCTAAGCTAAAAGTGCTACCGCCAGACCCGGACATCGGCTGAATGGATTCGAAAACGGTAAAACTCAACTGTGGGAGTTGGAAAATGAGCCTATTTTCAAAAATAGTGGCGTGTTCCTTTAACTTCAGCCCTAACTATCACTATCAGAAACTAACTATCACTTAGAGAAAAATGAAAAATATACAACCAGTTTTCTGTCTGGACATTATCTGTTAAGTTTACAGACGTTTTCTTTAACCCTAAAACATCACACAATGCATTGTATTGTGTCTGAACATGCTCATGCTGCAAACAAATGTCAGCCTTGCTGTGAACAATGAGTTATTGCACACAAATTTCGGAGCACTGATATGTTCTATCAATGGTGTAAAACAAAACTTTCTCTTTCACGTCTCCAGTACCATGTGAATATAAATAATAAGCCCGTTAACAAATTAAACTGAAAATGTGTTGATTTTACTGTAGTCAGTTCACACAACAAACCATATTCTTTTGCCAAGGAGGATGTTTGATTGGAATATTGTTCCAGGACTAATCCAATTTTTAGGGGTTACACTGGGCCATATTTTTAAGATTTTTAATGGGATCTATAAAGTAATATTCAGCACAATTTTCATTTACACGCTGTGATACACTGCAAATATTATATTTTGTATATACCATTTAAAGGTTTGGAGTCTGTAAGGTTTTTCAAATGTTTTTGGAAGAATCTGTTATGCTTACCAAGGCTGCATTTATTTGCTCAAAAATACAGTGAAAGCAGTAATATTGAGAAATATTATTACAATTTAAAATAGCCATTTTCTATTGGAAAATATAGTAAAATATAATTTATTCTTGTGATGGAAAATCTGAATTTTCAGAAATCATAATATGCTGATTTGATTCTTATTATTATCAATGTTGAACCCATAGTAAATTTTTTCAGGATTCTTTGATTAATAGAAAGTTCAATAGAAATAACTATTTGTAATAGAAATATTTTGTAACAATGTTAAAGCCTTTACCGTCACATTTGATCAATTTAATGTGACCCTGCTGAAAGTGTTTCTTTAAAAAAAAAAAAACATAAATAGGGAAAAAAACTTTTTTTTTTTCAATAAAGCATGAGCAATAGCTTCAAAATTCAACATCACCTGCATGACTCACAAGTTCTCAGTAATCCTGTAAGTGCTCAATGCTACAGTTACAGTACTAAATTCTTTATAACGTGGATGCAAAAAACAAATTATTGATGGGGGACAATTCAATGTCTTGCAAATCTACACCTTAGATCCTCTGAACTATAATTCCTCATGTTCTCGTTCAGTTTAACTTTGTGTTCTGTGTGGCAATGTGGGTCGCTCTCTGTTTCCCAAGAGGAATGACAGTGACATCCAGCTCGTCTCTGGAGCTTTAGGGAGTGTTTATACACGCTGTGTTTGCCATGGCTCTGTTTGTCATGCAGTTAATCTTTGACATTGAAAAGATTGAGGACTGCAAGAATCTAACCTTCCCACCCAATATACTTTAGACCCCATGAAGGGGCAGGCTTTCCTGAAAAGTTATGACACGGACGCTCGCATGTGCCCTGTCATATCCTGCTCGTTGCACTGACATAGAACATCCTCGTTGGTGTTATTGTGGTAGCATCTCAAAGAGGCTGAACTCAGTTTCACAATGTCGAAATATAGATATGATTAGTGCCTCTGAGACCCAAGGGAGGGACATGTTTGCTATCGCTCCCATGCCATCCATCACAATGACTGTGGGTTCTTTGCTAAAAAAAAAAAAAAAAATCTGCATGATTAACAAAAAGACTTTCTTTGAACTCCATGGACGGTTCATTCCAGATGGGGTTAGAGTTTGAACACTCATTAATTTTTCACAGTTTTCACAAGAACATAAATAGCAACTATATAAATAAACATGCCTTCAGCATACCATAACAGAGTGGTTCTCATTCTTAAAAATAAAGGCTCCAAAAAGTTTTTTTTTTTTTCCCAATAACGCCGTAGAAGAACCATTTTTGGTTCCCCCAAAGAACCTTTTAGTGAACATTTCTTAAAAGAACTGTTTTTTCTTAGTGTGAAGAACATTTTTCCACTAAAGAACCTCTTGTGGAAAAGAAAGGTTCCATGGATGTCAAAGGTTCTTCATGGAACCATAAGCCAATGAAGAACCTTTCTTTTAAGAGTGGAGTACAGTTTGCTTTGGAAGATGGTGAGCCATCATGTTAAGCATCTAGAAACACCCGGACAGCACTGTATCCGCTGTTTTCAACATGTGCCTTCATTTCTTCATCTATTATCTTATTTGATGTTAGCTAGCTGCTTGTAGCCAAACCGTGTTAACTGTTTTAAGCAGGAAACAGGATTCTTAAATTAGACATTTGTATTTATGTATAAAACGGGTCCAAGAGATTCAAAAAGGAGCTGTTTTGGAACCTAGTGAGCTGACTACATAGGAAATATGATAAGTTAGCCGTAACACAAAAGTGACGCAAAGGGGGGTGTCGGATTAAAGTCCAGAGGTGCTTGTAATGTTTTGAATGTATGATTATCAACAGTGGTTCATCACGACAGACAAATGTAAGGTATCCACAAAGATAACGCAGTTGAAGCAGTCTAGTCTATTAAAAACAAAGTGCATATTGATTAAATGGCAACTTATCATTGATTTCTGTCTGTGATGTTGACTTCCGTGTAGCAGCTCACAGACAGAATAAACATGCAACAGAATGTCTGCTTCGACAAACGCCAACATTTCAAACATTCTTAAGTTGTCTGTTAGATTTGGAATATTGGGAAACAGAGCTGTCATGTTCACAGGAAGGAGACTTTACAATATACCAAAAAATGGCAGAGCTGCTGCTTAGCAAAGGAACTTGGAAAGGTTTAAACTGATTCACAAAACGTCAAGACATTCATGAAACTTTGTTTAACTCAATAAAATATCTTTCTTGCTTAGAGAGATATTTTAAGCACAGTGTTATGTCTAAAATTTTAAAAACACTTTTTTTCTCAAATATATTTTTTGTATTAAATCAATCAAAGGTGACAGTAAAGACATTAATTAATGTTGCAACAGATTTCTATTTCTAATAAATGCTGTTCTTTTGCATTTCTGTTCATTAAGGATTAGGGTTGATATGAGAAAACATGCATTAAAAAATGCATCACTATTTCCATAAAAATATTAAACCGTTTTCAACATTGATAAGGATAATAATAAAAAATGTTTCTTGAGCAGCAAATCAGCATATTAGAATTATGTCTGAAGGATCATGTGACACTGAAGACTGGAGTAATGATACTGAAAATTCAGCTTTGCATCACAGCAATAAATTACATTTTAAAATAGAAAACAGTGATTTTAAATACTATTTTTACTATATTTTTGATCAGATAAATACAGCATTGGTTAGCATAAGAAGTACTTTTAAAATCATTAAAAAAATCTTACCAAACACAAGTATTGTAATTGTAGTGCATCTAAAAATTATATATATATATATATATATCTGTATATGTATTTATATATGCATTTATAAATACATTTATCAAAAGTATGAAATAACACAAGTGTGTGATTATAACTCGCATAGCAAATGAAAACTTATACGGAACCAACTTTATGTGGTGCATCCTGGGATGCTTTTTAAACAAAGCAGACTTCATGTATGCTGGACACGTATTGGCAGCTTTTTCTTTACAATGCATTCCAAATCATCCATTAAAAAAAAAAAAAAACATTCAAGTTTTTCAAATTCATATGCAAGAATTGATATTTGATATTGTAAGAATTTACTAAACCTCTGGTAGTGCTGACAGTTTCTAGTAAAAACAGATTGTGTACTCACCAGCTCTGATGTTGCGTGTGCTGGATCTCAGCTTGATATGCCTCTTGCATTTGTGATGTTGACAGCAGTTCAGCCCCTGACGTCCAACACTTGCCAAACACACTGGAACACACATGCGCAAAACAAACTGCGCTTCCCTCCAACACAAACCGTTAATTCAAACACATACCAGTACATGTGCGAGTTTAAACACAGAGGCACGGAAAGTCGATAATACATAAAAAAGACACTTTAACGTCGTCCTGTCCAGCTTTCAAGATCAACTTCACTGTTGGCAGAAAAAGTTCTAAATAGATATTTAACGGTTTGGACCTGTTGAACACAATCAGAGAGGGCCATGATGGGAATGAGGAGTTGTTTAAGTAAAATATAATGACTGATTTCTGGATGCACACTATGCGAATGAGTGGGCAACACACTGGAACACACATGCGCAAAACAAACTGCGCTTCCCTCCAACACAAACCGTTAATTCAAACACATACCAGTACGTGTGCGAGTTTAAACACAGAGGCACGGAAAGTCGATAATACATAAAAAAGACACTTTAACGTCGTCCTGTCCAGCTTTCAAGATCAACTTCACTGTTGGCAGAAAAAGTTCTAAATAGATATTTAACGGTTTGGACCTGTTGAACACAATCAGAGAGGGCCGTGATGGGAATGAGGGGTTGTTTAAGTAAAATATAATGACTGATTTCTGGATGCACACTATGCGAATGAGTGGGCTCATTAGAACATTCCCTGCAGCCCAGTGTTTATAAACAGCCCTAGTTCATCTAACTGATGGATGAGCACACGCTATCTCTCCATTCTTCTTCTGCTGCTCCTCAGAGAACGAACATGCTCAGCCAGGGTTTCACAACCACCCCGACACACTCCCACGTGTCACTACACAATTCAGCTGGAGGCACGCAACTCAAGACCCCCTTATCTGTCTCTCTCACGCTCTCACACACACACACACACACAGAGACCCCAACTCCTCTTCTGCTCCATGGGTGGGCCCTTCATGTCCTGGGTTGCAGATCCCGCCCTGATGCTCTTAACTCACAGGATGCTAATGACAGCGACTGTTATAATGAGGAAAAACAACATAGATGTATTTTTCCAGGAACATCAGGGCTGCTGATATGAACCATGGAGTCGAACCGGGAGACAAGGTTCTTCCTGAAACTAAAAAAATGTGTTCAAGAGATTCAGAAAGGTGCTGTTATTGACTATATAGGTAATATTATAAGGTAGCAGTAGCACAAAAGGTTGTTCAGAAATGTAGGCAGCACAATTGCACAGCTTTAGAAGAAAAAGCTTCTTTTGGCCAAACTCAAAGGCAGCATTGCACATATCTCTAAGAAGGCAATCCCATAATGCACTGCGAGCTCTTTGGAAAAAACAAGTTGGCAAACAAATTTTACGCAGTTGTCTATGTATTTTTTTTATATAAAAGAACACTAGTGATATGACACAGAATTGCTCCTTATGGAGATCAATGTTCTTTTTTTTTTTGTTAAAGGTGGTGTACCTTTTTTCAGTTTAATCAGGTTAAACTACATAGAAATGAAAAAAAAAAACTATTCCTTTACAACTGGCCAAAATAAAATAAAGTTATTGTATATTTTATTTCAGTACTTAAGAAATGTTATTAGTTAAACCCTCATCTGTCCCTCGGGTCATTTTGACCCAAAACTCATTTTTAAAGATTTTTTAAAAATCAATTGTTGATTGTTATGAGACTTTTTTTTACTTTTGTCACACTTGAACCGGGAATACATGGAAAAAAATTTGAGTGAATTCGAGCAGTTTAAGTGGGTGCCATAAAAAAAAGTATCAAAAGTGTCCCTTATTTTAAGTACTGAAATACTGTTAACTATAATAATCCTAGTGTGTCGTGGTTTCATTGACAAAAACGTTTATTCATTATTAAGTAACACATTTTTGTGGCTACATTATTAAAATAATATTACGTTTACAAGAAAGCCTGTTTTAGGTCCATTACGAATTTTGGTATGGAATTATTTTCATGGCAATTTCATGAGCATGTTTTCTCCTCCAAATTCTCATTTACAATACACGTCCAGACATCTCACATCTATAGGTCCATGAGGGCTGTGTTGGGAATCAGTGACCCCACTCACACAGCTCAGTGTTTCAAATGTGGCTTTAAAGGATACTATAAGGTCAAGGGAGAGCGTTCCCAGGCTGCCGATGAGCCAGGGGAGGTGGTGTATGATATAGCTGGCCTCTCCCTGCCCTGGATCTGGGTTCTTCACTAGCACACTGATGCCATATGTTGTGTTTCCCAGAATCACAAGAGCAAACAGGAAAAAAGACACGCCCTCTGTTGACTTCCTCTGAAACTGCAAGAAATATTTTAGCTTCACTAAAAAGCAATATCTGTCCATCTTTAACTAAGTGCCACATGCATATGTAGCATGCAAATGTATGAATAATAACTGAAGTCAGTCACTGCTATGACACTACAGAAGTCTGCAATGATTATAGTCTCCAAAGCAATAAAGAATGATGCAACATTCACATTAAACATGTAGAAGTCATTCAAATAAATAAGAAATTATATTTTGCATTAACAAAATAAAGACTTTTAGGGGCTTTAAAGGAATAGTGAAAATTGCTGACGATTGTACTCACGCTCAAGCCATCCAGAGTGTTTCTTCATGGGAACAGATTTGGAGAAATTTACCATTTCATCCCTTGTTCACCAATGAGCAGTGAATGGGTGCCGTCAGAATAAGAGTCCAAACAGCTACATCACAATAATCCACTCAACTCCAGTCCATCAATTAACCAAAGACCTGTGTGTTTGTAATAAACAAATCCATCATGACATTTTTTAACTCTAAACCGTTGTTTCTAGCTACATTGTGAGTCCTCTATCCATAATATTCTCCGGTGAAAAAGTCCTCTAGTCTGAATCAGGAGAGGAATATGCACAGATCAGGTACCGTTTACAAGAACAACAGTTCTAAACAGTTATGTTGGTGGATTTTGATGTGAGAGGACAACAGGAGATGGACTTTTTCACTGGAGGAAGAGTTTTTTGGACTCATTCTGGCCAGAAGAGACAGTTTAAGGTTAAAATACCTTAATGATGGATTTGTTTCATACAAAAATGTTCACTTCACAAGACATTAATTGACGGACTGGAATGGTGTGGATTATTGTGATGTAGCTGTCATGACATTTTTTAACTCTAAACCGTTGTTTCTAGCTACATTGTGAGTCCTCTATCCATAATATTCTCCGGTGAAAAAGTCCTCTAGTCTGAATCAGGAGAGGAATATGCACAGATCAGGTACCGTTTACAAGAACAACAGTTCTAAACAGTTATGTTGGTGGATTTTGATGTGAGAGGACAACAGGAGATGGACTTTTTCACTGGAGGAAGAGTTTTTTGGACTCATTCTGGCCAGAAGAGACAGTTTAAGGTTAAAATACCTTAATGATGGATTTGTTTCATACAAAAATGTTCACTTCACAAGACATTAATTGACGGACTGGAGTTGTGTGGATTATTGTGATGTAGCTGTTATCAGCTGTTTGGACTCACATTCTGGCGGCACCCATTCACTGAAGAGGATCCATTAGTGAGCAAATCTGTTCTGATGAAGAAACAAACTCATCTACATATTGGATGTCCTGAGATTGAGTACATTTTCAGCCAATTTTCACTATTGGGAGAAAAATTCCTTTAAGATTTTTTTGCATAGAGACATTATTTTTAATGACATTTAACCACAAATCATCTCTAAATCCATATTTATAATGCTTCCATACGTTTCCATTATTCCCGAAGTTGATTTTCATTACTGTCATACAATAACTTTAATGAGCATAATTTAAAGGCAGTGCAATCAAGAGTAGATTTTGCTCCTCTCATTTGTGAGATGTAATGTCCAAACAATGAGAAATACTGTTGCAAATATTAGAAATAAATCTAGAAAACACCTCATTTGCATAATACATTGCAAAAGAAAAAAAACAATATAATGTAAAATAAAAATGCATTCATTATTTATTAACTAATACATATATATATAAATTAATTAAAATGACTTTCTTTTACATTTTGGGATGACATATTACCTGAACATGTTCTTGATATATTAGTGAAATTCATCAGCACATACATGCAGTAAGACTTACATTAGTGTACATCTGTGGCAGTCTGGAGCATAAATACAGTACTGAAGATATAGAGCCGATGACAAAGCCTATAATCTCCTTTGTATTGAAGGGCTGAAAAACATGAAAACATCACATCTCAAATCAATTCTGAAACCATGTAAATGAATGAAGTGCAACTCAACTCAACTCACCTGCACCGAACCGCTGTCCTCCTCCACGGCCAGCAGTGCCCGAGCCTTGAACCTCACCGGCATCTGATCCTCTAAAGCGGAGCGAGGGAGACTAATGAGGGAAGATGTAATTCCCAGAAGACATAACATGCTGACCGCATTCAGCAATGCGCTGTTACTGGCTACAGAGGAGAAAGACAGTTCCATGAATTAGCATTTCAGGCATCAGCACATTCTTATACACTGTGAAAGCTGAAGGTCAGGGAGGAATATATAGTAATGTAGGGCAGTGATGGGACTAAAACCATTCAAAATGGTTTTCGGGAATTAAAATAAATATGAAATAAAATATAAATATTAGAAACTAATGAAACTTCAGTGAAAATCAAATGAAAATTAGAAATGTTGCAACTAACTGAAATAAGTTTAATTACTAAAATTATTCAAACTAAAACAAATGACAGATCATTTAAAGCTATATAGAAATATAAACCTAAACTTAAAAAAATGTAAATAATGAAAAAAGTTATACAAAATATGAATAAATACTATAATAGTATATAAATAAATTATTTATAGACTGTTATAGTATTTATTCATATTTTGTATTTATTTTTAATTTTATTTTGTATTTAAATTTTATATAAATGTAATTTTTTATTAAGATTTTTATTTTAGTACTATTTAAAATATACTATAATGAATACTATAATAGAACATCATGATCATCCATCAAGACCTAGGTCACTGAGTGTCTCTGATGCCATCTGGTGGGGAAAAATTACATAAAATTGCATTTTATGATGACAGCCACTAGAGGAGCCTATTGAATCCTATGGAGATTCTTAAATGAGCCAAACAAAATCTTTAAAACTACACCAACTTGAGGCTTCATTAAGTTATTAATGTATATATATATCATTTCAGATATATCTTAAGGTTTTCAGATATATATCAAAACATTAAAAAAACTATATTTTGTCAAAAAAATTGATACCGAATTTTAATCCAAACACATGCAAGGGGGTGTGAATACTTTCCGCACTCACTGTATATATATATATATATATATATATATATATATATATACACTGTTTATAATTGCATAACTCTGCCTTTTTAAATGTTAAAATTTTGCACTTTTCTGGTTTCAAATTAAAGAAAAAAAACAAATGAAGCATTTTAAAACATTTCATTTGAACATTTACTCAATATTATTTAATGCTGTAACCATTTTAAATGTAACACTAGCAATACTGGAGTTCTTACATTATTGGAATGAAATAAGCAATGCTTGTTGAAAGAACTTTTGTATTGGCTTTTGTCAGGTGGCACAGACACCCATTTAATATGCATCTTTTGAGCTAAAGGGTCTACGATTAAACTTTCCAACAATCCAGAGGTCACCGTTTTATTGAAAATAAAGATCAAACGTCCCCTATTGAAGGGATTTCAACTAGGAATAAGAAAATACACATGCAAAGGAAACAGGTGGGCCATATATGATAAACTTTATCATAACCGTAGGGAGAGATGAGTATCATTTATAAAGTATAATTCACAATAGATTTACAAATATAATAATAACTCAAGTTTAAGAAAAAAAGAAAAACAAGTTATTTACTAAATCAGACCAAAACAAGACTATTTAAATCTGTACAAGCGTCTTCATCGACACCCAACAATTCATTTGTCGATCCTCCGATGATGCCAACATCCACAATGCACGTTTAAAAGTTCTCCCGCAGTACGTACAATGGATCGCCAGGGGTTTGGGAGAACATGAAATAAACGAAGCATCTGAATCGCATCAGTTCCAGCGTTATCCCACCCTTCAGAGAGCAAAATAAGACTGAGCTTGAGGAAGACCGTTTATTTCTCGCAGACGTTTCCTCATTCCTTCACTTGATGTGCAACAGCTTCTCGGTGTCCACTTTTAAGCGTTTGCGTTTCGGTTGTACGAAGTCATCGTCAGAGTCCTCCGAATCCTTATCGGCCTCCGCTCGCATCTCCTTCTCCACGGCTAGCGGGAACGTCTGGTCGGGAAAAATCTCCAGCAGTTTCTCCTCGAAATGCAGACTCACGGCTTTGCCCGCCTGTGCCACTTCCGAGTCGGCCTAGGAGAGGGAGGAGAGGGGAAAGAGTGTGGAAATGTGAGGAAAGGCGAGGAGAGAGCAGGTGAAATGCAGGCCCAGAGATGAACGGGTGAGGAGGAGGAGGAGGAGGAGGAGAGAAGCACAGAAAGGGTTAAAACTTCCATTTCGGCTGCTTTGGGTGCCAGGACTGCTGAACCCATCGGTGTGGTGTACGAAACATCTTACCTGAACATTACTCTGTTTCTCCTCATCATAAACCTGGATTATTCGAGACATCTAAAAAGGGCAACGGCACCACACAAAAAAAGAAAAGGGGGAAGAAAGATTTTATACCATCCACACACAGTGAGGTCACAGCCTCATCTGTATTTAAAAATGTCCAAGGAGCACAATTTTCGGTTTGCTCATAATAAATGCCTTTTAGTTAGAAGGCATGAGCAAACGGCCTCTATATATTCATGAAGAAGAACAACTAGACGGGGATTTGCCTTAAACAAAACAAACAAAAAAAGTGCCAGTAATGCTGACAGACCCAAACTAAATGCAAGTGAGATAAATTGGATGGGAAAATTAAAAAATTGTTCATTATAACGTGCTTCTTTGACATGAATGCCACACAGTCATCAAGTTTTGCAAAGACAGTCTATCACTTTTTACAGTAATCTTCAGACAGAAATAACATGTCAGTAACCCTATGAAATTATCACAATGGCAGTGCTAACGTGTGTTTTGGAGGATTTGACTACTGTTATTTCCCCCCACAACAAACAGCATACTGTGACCACTGTGATGAACCCAAACAGATCAATTCCATCCACTGAAATACCTGAAGTGGACGTACACATCCTTTGGTAAAATAGAAGCCGAAAAATCTTTATAATATCCAGTGTGTAATGATCACATCTTTAATTTGATTCATGTATTGCCACTGCATTTAAAATGGCAGATGTAAAATTACTGGCATGACAGAGATTTGCTGTCAATAGCACGCAACAACATACAAAAATTTCATAATCAACTAAATTGTAAAAAATTGTCAAACATAACTTAGCAGGGTTATCATAGTTGACTAACTAAATCCATTTTTGTTACAACAAACTACTAAAAATGACAAAATTATTAAAACTAACTAAAATATTAAAATAAAAATGGATTTGAAATATTAATGAAAACTCTAAATGTATCTCAATGACACTAACATTTTCTAAGGTATGTAAAACTGAAATCAAATAAGTTGTGTACATGGGATGCGAGTTTGAATGCATCAGAGCCATTTAGTTTTATTTTACAGTTTCACAGTCACTTAACATGTACACTTTTTATACACACTTTAAAGACCCCATGAAATCGAAATGATAGGTCTGTGGCTTTTACGCCGTGTATGTTTGCTTTAAAGTTACCAATATGATGCTAGTGCAAAAAGCTGACAAAACTAACTCGCTTTTTAGAACATTCCTCGTTGTGTCTAGCAAAACATGAAATTAAAGCATGTTTAAATAAAAACCCACCCAAACTTCTGTTATCAACAGGAAATACATCAACTTTCAATCGTCACGTTTGCTTCATGGGGTCTTGAATGAATGTCAGAAAGAGTGAATGACTGCAAAACTGACATTCATATCATGCATTTGATTGTCATTTTTATTGTTAATCAAATGTATTATAGAAAAACACTGTGTGCAACATTAAATAAACATCCCTTCAACGGCGTGAAACATCACAAAGTGTGTTAGCCCTATGACAAACACAAGCTCAACATCCAGCCGCTGATTAATATTACTCTGTTTCTCCTCATCATAAACCTGGATTATTCGAGACATCTAAAAAGGGCAACGGCACCACACAAAAAAAGAAAAGGGGGAAGAAAGATTTTATACCATCCACACACAGTGAGGTCACAGCCTCATCTGTATTTAAAAATGTCCAAGGAGCACAATTTTCGGTTTGCTCATAATAAATGCCTTTTAGTTAGAAGGCATGAGCAAACGGCCTCTATATATTCATGAAGAAGAACAACTAGACGGGGATTTGCCTTAAACAAAACAAACAAAAAAAGTGCCAGTAATGCTGACAGACCCAAACTAAATGCAAGTGAGATAAATTGGATGGGAAAATTAAAAAATTGTTCATTATAACGTGCTTCTTTGACATGAATGCCACACAGTCATCAAGTTTTGCAAAGACAGTCTATCACTTTTTACAGTAATCTTCAGACAGAAATAACATGTCAGTAACCCTATGAAATTATCACAATGGCAGTGCTAACGTGTGTTTTGGAGGATTTGACTACTGTTATTTCCCCCCACAACAAACAGCATACTGTGACCACTGTGATGAACCCAAACAGATCAATTCCATCCACTGAAATACCTGAAGTGGACGTACACATCCTTTGGTAAAATAGAAGCCGAAAAATCTTTATAATATCCAGTGTGTAATGATCACATCTTTAATTTGATTCATGTATTGCCACTGCATTTAAAATGGCAGATGTAAAATTACTGGCATGACAGAGATTTGCTGTCAATAGCACGCAACAACATACAAAAATTTCATAATCAACTAAATTGTAAAAAATTATGTCAAACATAACTTAGCAGGGTTATCATAGTTGACTAACTAAATCCATTTTTGTTACAACAAACTACTAAAAATTACAAAATTATTAAAACTAACTAAAATATTAAAATAAAAATGGATTTGAAATATTAATGAAAACTCTAAATGTATCTCAATGACACTAACATTTTCTAAGGTATGTAAAACTGAAATCAAATAAGTTGTGTACATGGGATGCGAGTTTGAATGCATCAGAGCCATTTAGTTTTATTTTACAGTTTCACAGTCACTTAACATGTACACTTTTTATACACACTTTAAAGACCCCATGAAATCGAAATGATAGGTCTGTGGCTTTTACGCCGTGTATGTTTGCTTTAAAGTTACCAATATGATGCTAGTGCAAAAAGCTGACAAAACTAACTCGCTTTTTAGAACATTCCTCGTTGTGTCTAGCAAAACATGAAATTAAAGCATGTTTAAATAAAAACCCACCCAAACTTCTGTTATCAACAGGAAATACATCAACTTTCAATCGTCACGTTTGCTTCATGGGGTCTTGAATGAATGTCAGAAAGAGTGAATGACTGCAAAACTGACATTCATATCATGCATTTGATTGTCATTTTTATTGTTAATCAAATGTATTATAGAAAAACACTGTGTGCAACATTAAATAAACATCCCTTCAACGGCGTGAAACATCACAAAGTGTGTTAGCCCTATGACAAACACAAGCTCAACATCCAGCCGCTGATTAATGCTCAGCTTGACTGAAACCATTCTTTTAATAGTTAGTACTGGTGACCATGAGGCAGTAAACACATGCAATCCATCACATGTTCATGCTGTGTTGCTTAAGTGTATTTTCATACTCTCCAAATACCCATTTCTTACATGCAACATCCCATCCCACCCCCACACAGGTTAAGGACATGCCCCGAACTCACCTCATTAAATTTGGCACAATTGCTAAAGACCAGGCGTACGTCGGACACAAACTCTTTAGGGCTCTTGTAATGCAGAGGATGTTTGCGCTGCAGTTTCCGTTTTACCAACGTCAAATCCATCGGATGCTTTATTATTTTATAGTAATTGGGTACCTGGAGAGAAATCAAGGCTTTAGCATTAAAACTATAATGTTGAACATGGGGATCTCTTCCAAAACCAAATAATCTGAACATTGACTCAACATTTTTAGGTATGCAGTATTAGGTGTATGTGCATCCTAATTAAAAAGCACTATTACGCTTTTGTTTATCAGTATTAGTCAAAAGCAGAGGTAGCATTGTAGTTTAGGCCCATAATGCATTGCACCAAGCCGTTTTCTCTGATCCAGCTAAAACTAAAGTCATTAAAAATCAATTTCATTAATTGAATTGAAGCTAAATAAAATGTTACATTAAAAACTTAAACTAAAAAGAAAAAAAAAATTAGAAACTAGAAAGTTATAAGGGAATAAAACAAGATCAAGTACTAAAATTACTAAACTAAAACAAAAATCAAGTCAAGTAGAAACATGATAAAATTACTAAAACTATTAAAAATCTGTTTCAATAATTGAAATGAAGCTGAAATAAAACAAATATTAAATTAAAAACAAAAAGTAAAATTTAGAAATTTTACCTTGGCAACTAACTATAATTAAGTTAAAGTACTAAAATAACGAACCCAAATCAGAAATAAAAATGAAAGTCAAATAGAAACAAATAATGACAAAAGCACATTATAAAATTACCAAAACTAGAATGAAATTTAGAATGAAAATTGAAAAATCAAAGCCAATTGAAAAAATATTAATGCTATAATAGTATATAAATAATAACTCTGCTCAGCTCAAACGGGAAATTGATTGATTAAAAAAACAAACATTTCAAGAGTATATACAGAAAATTTAAATTTCACTCTCTAGTAGTGTATACTTAGAGCTTTGCCTGATATCTAGATTTTCTAGAGCAGGGATCCTCAAATCTAGCCCACGAGATCCACTTTCCTGCAGAGTTTAGCTCTAACCCTAATCAAACACACCTGAGCATGCTAACCAATGAGTACGTTTACATGGACAACAATACTCCGATTTTAATACGATTAAGACGATACTCTGATAAAGAATCTACCATGTAATCAGAGATTTTTGATTACCTTAATCCGGCTAAAGTCATATTCGAAGTAAACAGAAATTGAATTAAGACGTGGAGTATTCCTATTTTAGTCGCATTACTAAAGTGCAGTATAGACATGTAAACACCTTAATCAAATTATTACCATCGTGTAGGACTTTTCACCGCATTTTGCGACAGGATACACACACGGCAGTGCTCAACCGTTTGACGGCAAACAAAAGAGCTTCAACACCGCCGTCATCTGTATGCATGTACAAATAATTAACTGCACTTGAAGCTTTCATAAAATTAAATATGAAACACCCAAAACTGTACATGGCATCATCACGAATACGAACTATATGTTTATACGTGAAATTCCGGAGGGGACGTCGGATGGCGTCACGTGGGGACATAATGACGTGTGCCATTAATCAATCTATGTACTATAGCATGTAAAACGGGAACGTGAAAGGAATATTCTAAAAGCAACTCATGCAAACACCATAATCATAATATTGGCTTATTTAGAATAAGGTAAATAATTAGATTACTGATGTCCATGTAAACGTAGTCATTGTCTTCAGGATCATTAGAAAATCACGGGTAGCTGAGTTTGATCAGGGTTGGAGCTAAACTCTGCAGCACATTGGCCCTCCAGGCCAAGATTTGAGGAACCCTGTTCTGTCCAAGTATCCCTTGTAAGGAAAGTCATTTTATTTGGTGGCCACCTTAGTAGTGCCCACCATTCATGCAAGTACAGCTTCTACAGGTGCATCTCAATAAATTAGAATGTCGTGGAAAAGTTCATTTATTTCAGTAATTCAACTCAAATTGTGAAACTCGTGTATTAAATAAATTCAATGCACACAGACTGAAGTAGTTTAAGTCTTTGGTTCTTTTAATTGTGATGATTTTGGCTCACATTTAACAAAAACCCACCAATTCACTATCTCAACAAATGAGAATATGGTGACATGCCAATCAGCTAATCAACTCAAAACACCTGCAAAGGTTTCCTGAGCCTTCAAAATGGCCTCTCAGTTTGGTTCACTAGGCTACACAATAATGGGGAAGACTGCTGATCTGACAGTTGTCCACAAGACAATCATTGACACCCTTCACAAGGAGCCACAAACATTCATTGCCAAAGAAGCTGGCTGTTCACAGAGTGCGGTATCCAAGCATGTTAACAAAGTTGAGTGGAAGGAAAAAGTGTGGAAGAAAAAGATGCACAACCAACCGAGAGAACCGCAGCCTTATGAGGATTGTCAAGCAAAAGAGATTCAAGAATTTGAGTGAACTTCACAAGGAATGGACTGAGGCTGGGGTCAAGGCATCAAGAGCCACCACACACAGACGTGTCAAGGAATTTGGCTACAGTTGTCGTATTCCTCTTGTTAAGCCACTCCTGAACCACAGACAACGTCAGAGGCGTCTTACCTGGGCTAAGGAGAAGAAGAACTGGACTGTTGCCCAGTGGTCCAAAGTCCTCTTTTCAGATGAGAGCAAGTTTTGTATTTCATTTGGAAACCAAGGTCCTAGAGTCTGGAGGAAGGGTGGAGAAGCTCATAGCCCAAGTTGCTTGAAGTCCAGTGTTAAGTTTCCACAGTCTGTGATGATTTGGGGTGCAATGTCATCTGCTGGTGTTGGTCCATTGTGTTTTTTGAAAACCAACTTCACTGCACCCGTTTACCAAGAAATGTTGGAGTACTTCATGCTTCCTTCTGCTGACCAGTTTTTGAAGATGCTGATTTCATTTTCTAGCAGGATTTGGCACCTGCCCACACTGCCAAAAGCACCAAAAAAGCACCAGGTCACCAGACCTGAACCAAGAGGAAATTTGTCAAGAGGAAAATGAGAAACAAGAGACCAAAAAATGCAGATGAGCTGAAGGCCACTGTCAAAGAAACCTGGGCTTCCATACCACCTCAGCAGTGCCACAAATTGATCACCTCCATGCCACGCCGAATTGAGGCAGTAATTAAAGCAAAAGGAGCCCCTACCAAGTATTGAGTACATGTACAGTAAATGAACATACTTTCCAGAAGGCCAACAATTCACTAAAAATGTTTTTTTTATTGGTCTTATGAAGTATTCTAATTTGTTGAGATAGTGAATGGGTGGGTTTTTGTTAAATGTGAGCCAAAATCATCACAATTAAAAGAACCAAAGACTTAAACTACTTCAGTCTGTGTGCATTGAATTTATTTAATACACGAGTTTCACAATTTGAGTTGAATTACTGAAATAAATGAACTTTTCCACGACATTCCAATTTATTGAGATGCACCTGTATATATTATGACTAAGGAAAGACTAAAATCTGTTTATCTATGTGCCATTTAAATAACATATTTCATATCAGTAATAAAATCTGACAACAATGACATAATTTGTTCTTCCTTAGAAGGCAGGTCCCCATGTAGACAGCAGGACAGCTCACTAGGTTTTAGAACAGAGCCATGCTCTACAGAAAGAAGTGAAGTAGTCTCAAAAGAGCAAAGTGAGAGGGTATATAATACGAAATCCAATGAAATTACAAAATCATTGTTATTACACGTCAGCCTGATGCATTATTGCATTCACTCAGTAATGTAATTACACAAGAATCATAATCCTGCTATGACAAATAACAGCAGGAAATGGCCCAGAGGCTCAATGCATGTTTGAAAACAGATGACTGGAGTCACTACAGATGCACATGTGAGTGATGTTACTATTTTAGAAGCTTTACTGCAATAGTGTTAATGACCTTGCAGAGAGGCAGCAATTAAATATCGCCACTCATACTGAGCAATGGTCCAATTACACATCTTTAAGAACACTTCATCAGAAATGTCTGCATTTATGGGAAAAGAGGATATTGTGGGCCTGATGGAAACTTACCGATGAAGGAACAGGCTCTTGAAACTCTGTACTGAGCTCATGACAAAACACGTGCAGCAGCAAGCGCTCACAACGCTAAAAATACAGGAAGAGGAGAGAAGAAGAAACATGAAAAATATGCAATTGTGCATTGAGAAATTGAGGCGGTGGTTTATAGATCATATCTGATTGCTGGGTCACTCATGTTCACATTTTAGAGCCAAACATCATTACTGTCTCACAATATACTGTATGTAATTTATGTTATATTACATTATATAGTGTCTGGTATGAAGTATTGGGATAAATTAAATCATAAAAGCAGTCTTAATAAAAGCAATTTATCTTTGCCAATCTACCAATTAGAGGTCACGTACTATCTGCTCCCCATACTTCACTCATTTTCTGACTACGATTGTGTTTGTTTGCTTCCAGAAGTCATAGATCCTCTTCTGAATATTATTAATTTGTCAATGTCATTAGGATATGTCCCAAAATCCTTCCAACTGGCTGTTATTAAGCCTCTAATTCTCTAGGATCAAGTTGTGTTTTTTTTATGAGTTAATTACAGACCGATCTCAAATCTCCCTTTTCTGTCAAAAATACTAGTAAAGGCGGTATCCTCTCAGCTTTGTTCCTTCTTAGAGAGAAATGGTATCTGTGAGGATTTCCAGTCAGGATTTAGACCGTATCATAGTACCGAGACTGCTCTCATCAGAGATACAAATGACCAGCTCTTATCATTCGACCGTGGTTGTATTTCTTTATTAGTGCTACTGGATCCTAGTGCTGTGTTTGACACTAGTATCGAACACAACATTCTTTTGAGTAGACTACAAAATTTTGTTGGCATTAGTGGAAGTGAATTGGCATGGTTCAAATCCATTTGTAAAACCGCATTTATCCATCTTAAAAATATATCTATATATTATGACCTATGTCCTCAATGTCAAATGCAGACATGTTAATTCATGCATTCATGACCTCTAGGTTAGATTATTGTAATGCTTTACTGGGTGGTTGCTCTGCACGCTTAAAACTCCAGCTGGTCCAAAATGCAGCAGCTACTATGCACTGGTTCCCTATTGAACATCGTATACATTTTAAAATCTTGCTAATTACTTATAAAGACCTGAATGGTTTAGCTCCTTAGTACTTGAGCGAGCTCATATAGCATTATAGTCCTTCAAGTCTACTGCAATCTCAAAACTCTTGCCATTTGATAATATCTAGAATATCAAAATCAACTGCGGGCCTTTTCCTATTTAGCACCCAAACTCTGGAACAATCTACCTAGCCTTGTTCGGGAGGGCAGACCCACTCTGTCAGTTTAAATCTAGATTAAAGACCCATCTCTTTAACCTGGCATACACATAACACACTATCACATTTCAATAATTCAAATCTGTTAAAGGATTGTTAGGCTGCATTAATTAGGTCAACCGGAACCGGGAACACTTCCCATAACACCCGATGTACTCGTACACCGTAAGAAGAATGACATCGACGCTAATATTCCGAGGTCACTGTATCCACCCAGATCCAGACCAGATGGTGGATCAGCACCTAAAGATGACCTCTGCAGTCCTGAATGTCAGTGGAGACCATGTCAACTAGATCTGTATTGTATGAAGCACTATATAACTAAAGGTGACTTGACTTGATTCTCGGTGGGACTCACTCTCTGGTCCTCCGGACTCATTGCCATCTCACTCATGTCCTTCTTACTGGGTGGATCGTCATCACAGTTGTATTCCATCTCTGGATTTGTGAGACTTCTGCAGAAGGTGCACATCCAATCTCCACTGCAGCAGAAAGAAGGTACAACACATAATTTAACACACAAAAATCAGGAATTAAAGTCTTAAAACCTAAAGGGAACAGATCATAAATGCTTGTTTATCCTGGTGTCCCTTTATAAATATTAGTCAAAGTTTCTGGCACCACAAACAGTCGTAATTTAGGTTTTTAAGAATATTTTCCACCCTCTCGCTGACCTACAAGCTGTTATGCTACTGAACTTTTATGACCACAATATGTAAATGACCTCTCTGTTATGACTAGCTAAACAAATTGGCCAGTTATTTATTTCTGTACTCATTTTGTTTACCTGAGTTAAGTATAAGTGCAAGGTATAACAAGTTGTGCAAAAAGGAAAATAAAATAATTAATTAAATTAATTTAAAATTTAAAATTAAAATGTATATTATACCAACCAGGGGACTAAGGCTATGCTAACCCCATTGGCACTGTAAATGTGTGGTCAGTACCCTTGGTTTCATTCCACCATATGCGCCGATTGCTCGCCGAACTCGATTGCTAAGACAGATTATGTGTTTTGAAATGCTACTGGTAGAATCTTAGAAAATTATGATAATTTGTCATTGGTGTTCCAAATAAAATACAAATAAAATAACACTAGTCATTTATGAATAGAAATGCTATCATGGCATGTAAAGTTTTAAATAAAATAATATGCTGTTGGTGGCATTTTAAAAACCAAATAATAATAATAATAATAATAATTAAATTAATTAAAAATACATTGAATACATAAATTGATCATTCAAAAATAAATAATAAAATACATTAAAATAAAACTAAAATAAATTTAATAATAATAAATCATAAAAAAATTTAAAATAAACTAGTCATTTATAATTAGAAATGCTACAGATGACATAATAAAATAAAATACTAGTCACTTATGATAAGTAAATGAAAAGATGTAAATAAATACAATCAGCTTTTATTGGAATTTCCTACGCCAGACCGTCTCCATCATGCTCAAGAACACATTGCTAATAGTTCACGGCTTGCAACTTGTAGGGTTCAAACCTAAAACCTTTCGGGTACCAGCTCAGATGTACTACAGAATAACACCATTAAGGCCAAACTGAATGTGTTGCATCATCTGTATAAATAAAGCCACATTCTTTACCTGGGAGAAGATTTGAGTGTTGGGATATGGCAGGTCATGTGGAAGACTTTAGGACAGCGATCACAGCACAGCAGTTCACCTCCATTCTGACACACGCCACACCAGTCCTCATTCGGGTCGTCTTCTTTTCCTACAGTGGTCTGGTTGTTGGCGTTAGCGGTGTTCCCCTGCTGACTACCATTTGACTCGGTGGTCCCATTGGTTAAAGGTGCGCTGGAGTTTGGGTTCGTACAGGATGAGAGCTGATTGCTCTGTGGTTCAGATTTAACATTTTCACCAAGTGTTCTTAAAATGTCCTGGACTGAACCGGTGGACACAGAGCCGAGGATGGGAAGAGGGGGAGTCACGCTTCCTTCTGGGCTGCTCATCTGGTTTGAGGAAGAACAACAACAACAAAAGATAGACATTGTACAATATGAACCAAACTATAATAAACTGTATCTCTTGGGACCCAGAAGGGAAAAAGAAACTTGTTATTCAGATTTTATTGTAAAGGGCATGAAGGAAGATACTACAGGCAAAAGTCATGCTTTCATTCTCAATTAACTTAGGCTACGTTTTTGGCTAATTTTCCTTGCAAATAATCTCTTTTACAGTATCCTTGTCACACGTTACATGTATTTACTTAGTAATAACTATAATCTAGTGCATAATTACAAGTAGGGATGTAACGATTACCGGTTTCATGGTACATCACGATAAAATGCTCTGACGGTTAGTATTATCGTTTAAAATTTAATTATCATCAAAATCATATTTGATTATCGCGCTTTTTAAAACTTGCGGTAAATCCTGTCCAGCCAGCATCAGTCTGACGCAGAAGCAGCATGCAGTGTTGTTGTTGTTTTTTGCACTAGATGAAATAGCAGAAGGCAGTGACAGCGCTCGGGAGATTTTTCAGCCATCTAAGAGGACCAAATCGGTGGTCTGGTCGTATTTTGGCTTTTACAAGAGTCTTGAAGGCAATTTAATCAAGGACGGTCACCCTGTCTGCTGATCTTGCAAGAAGAAAGTCGCTGCAAAAGGGGGAAACGCATCTAATTTGCTCCGTCATCTTCGTGACCACCACACACTGTTATAGCGAATGCAAGGTAACTTTTACCTCAGTACCAAAACTAACTGGGTTAATAATTGGACGAAAAATATTGATTAGAGATTAAATATTTCGTTATCTCACTTGTTTAACGCAAAGCTTCCGTGAAGAAAAGTTCGCAGCAAGTGGCTTTGAGCCAAGACGAACGAACGTGCAAACTATAAGGTTGACATTTAAGGGATAATGTATTGTATATTCATAGTTAACTTATTACACAGATTTTTTTTGTTTACCTATAATAATATATAAATACGGGGATATGAAATATTGAATTGAGATGAATGTTTTGAAATCTTACC